CTGGAGAATTTGACTGGAGCCGTTTCCATCAGTCTACATTCGGGGTGCATTATTGTTGCCATAACTTATTTTGGGAGACAGAAAAGCATAAAATGGAACAAAAAACTTGTACCTCCACTCAACGGATGTTGTGTACACTTGCAAGCAAGGGGGTGGCAAGTCACTTAGTCTCCTAAGACTGTGTTGTTGCTGCAATCCAATTACATCCTTTTTTCAGAGGACCTCCCTGATGAGTTCTTAATTCTATGAGTCGACAGTGGGTGAATTGAGAGTGTCTGTGCATATTATTATACGATCTCTTTAGAAGCGCAAAACAAACAAATTAATCCCAATGTACCGCTCTTGGTGGATTGCTCCTCCCTCTCCCCGTTTGCTTTAACAATGTTTCTGATAGAAAGCTGAAATTTTAATGACCTTCCATAGGGGGAGCTGAAATAGCCTCAGTGCATCTGAGCTGCTGTTTCGCTTTTTATTATTCCTCATAAATTTCGAGACCATAACATGTGCAGCAGTGCAACACTGCCTTAAGAGCAGTTTTCATAAATATTTACTTATTTAAATTTGCACCTTGTCCTGTTTTGAAGACTTAAGGCAGAGGCTCGAGTCTTTTTTAAAACAGATTTGTTTTTTTAAACACATTTTTTTTTTGCCATTAAAAAAATAAATAATAACAAACAAGGGGGCGGGGAAGGAAGGTGAGCCCTATACAAGTAAACTAACATTTACCGAAAAGGGGGTGAGGAGAGTACAAAGGGTGCGGTATTGAAAGAAACTACCCTAAACTGAGGACTAGTCAGTATCATGCTCAAGAACATGACATCTTTAGCCCAGGAATGGAAGACAATCGCTGAGTCGGTAGAACATAAGCCTCTTAATCCCAGGGTTGTGGGTTCAAGTCCCACACTGGGTGAAAGATTCCTGCATTGCAGGGGGTTGGACTAGATGACCCTTGTGGTCCCTGCCATCTCTACAATTCTACGATTCTATGGTTCTACAGGACTTAAACCTCTTGATATGACCTGCTTAGCCATATAAGCAGGAGGGTCCACAAATGCAAAAGACATGGCTTACTAGATTTTGAAGAAGCAGTGGTAAAATACACATCTTTCCAATGATAGAGCCCCTATCCCCTAGTCCAAAGTCTAAAATTTCAGCAGGATGAGCGGAAGAATCCTCAGATACAACAGGGCTGGCATCTGCCTTTGAAGAAAGCAAAGCAATGTGTTATGTACTGAAGTTCTCACCCTGGGCCAGCAGGGGGACACTGTATATAGTTGTCACTCAGGTCCACATATGCAAACAAGGGATTGAAAGTGACGTTCAGTGATTGGATAGTTACAGAAAGTGGTTACTGTTGCGTTGTAGTGGAGCTCTATATAAGCAGGCTGGCTGAATCCTTCAGTTCAGTTCTGTTCTGGCCTGTGAATAAACAAGAGCCGTTTGAAGAATCGCTGTGTCATCTGATATGTTCATCCACAACTTAACACAATGCCTTTTGCATCTAAAGTGGGTGGGCATTTAAACCAGTGCATGCAGAGTCTAAAACTACTTAACTGCCCAGCTGAAAATTGGCAAGAGAGGCCCCCTCACTCATGTGTCCTTGCAGCCATGCTCAGAACAAGCTTAGCTAGATCTGCAGTTAACTTTCCCCTCACAATGCTCCAGGCCATTCCTAATAAGTAAGGGAATTTTGCTTTCCCTCTGCTTTTCTAATACTTTCTGGCGCTCTCCGGCAAGGAGAAGAGGGATTACTCTCACCTGTATCGTGCTCAGCTTGTAGAAAAGATCCCCAAATTCTTTCCCCTGGTTGCAATGTAGCAGCAAACTGTTAAATCTCTTAAGCACCTTCATTGCACAATGTGTGTTTCTTTGGGGGGAGAGGGAGAAGGAGTGAAAGAATAATCAACAATGAACTGAAAGTGTGCCAGCTGGCACCTAGAGTCTGACTTTGAGAGGCCTTTTCTAAGTAGGTGCCCCTGGAAAATCGGGACACTTGGAGGATACGCTGTGTGAAGAAATTAGGCTACGACACAAAGGCAAACTTCATATTTGTGTGGGTTAAACCACAGAGCCTAGGACATGCCGATCAGAAGGTCGGCGGTTCGAATCCCTGCGACAGGGTGAGCTCCCGTTGCTCGGTCCCTGCTCCTGCCAACCTAGCAGTTCAAAAGCATGTCAAAGTGCAAGTAGATAAATAGGTACCGCTCCGGCGGGAAGGTAAACGGCGTTTCTGTGCGCTGCTCTGGTTCGCCAGAAGCAGCTTAGTCATGCTGGCCACATGACCTGGAAGCTGTAAGCCGGCTCCCTTGGCCAATAAAGCGAGATGAGCACCGCAACCCCAGAGTCGGTCACGACTGGACCTAATGGTCAGGGCTCCCTTTACCTTTTACTACCACCACTGGCATGTGGTCCTCAGAAGGTTTTACTGGGTGGGAAAAGATTCCATGCCCCAGGGCCTTCTCTAGCTCCTCTCTGAGAGAGTGGATTGCTGAGAAAGCAGCAGGCAGTGAGGGAAAAGGCCTGCTTGCTGCCTCAACCCAGGTTGTCACCAACAATTTGCAGTGGGTGGGAGTTGAGGGATATTTCCAGGCAGCAGAGGGCTGGAGTATATCTCAGGAGCCCAACACCCCCCCGGAGACTGTCATGTTCAATTTACCAACCTGTCTGCATGCAACGATTGCTCCACACAACTGTGATCGCAGCCCTCTGTGCCAAAGGAGCATTTGGATCTGTAGGCTGGCATGATGCAAGGATGCCTGCGTTTCGTCAGGGCCGCATCAACCTTCCAGAAATGGGAGGTTTCAGACACAAGCGGGGCAACATTGCCAAAGCAGGTTCAGCATTTGAACTGGAACCAAGAGAAGTACCCAGAAGTTCAGGCTTGGTGGATGAGTTGATAGAAGTCATTTTGATGGTGGCATCATCAGAGCAGGACTTGGTGGTGGTGGGGCATTGCCCAGGGCATCACTCAGCAGAATGAGAAGGTGAGCAGGGTTATCTTTCCACATTTTGATGTAACTGAAGCCGTACACATTGTCATCTGAACCACCACTCCCTGTTAACATACCCTGCAACATCTTGGGAACCAAAATCGGGACACTCCTTTGTTTGGTCCCAAACGCTCACACCTGTGCGAGAGCGCAAGACCAAAAGATGCTCGTTTTTGGGTCTCGCAAGACTGAAAAGTGAGCGTCATTTGGTCCGACGCTCTGGTGTGAGCCACCTGACTCACTCCAGAGTGCCAGAATGAAAAATGAGACATTCCAGGATCCAAACAGTAGCCGACTTCTGTAGTTCTGGGATGTCCCACTTAATTCAGAACTGTTGAGTGCCATGTGATAAGACCACGAGGTCCAGTGTCTAAAATCACCAAACCTTACCATTGCAATTTGATATGGGAGAAGTGCCATTAGGTAGCACATTAATCCGAAGAATCATTGCTTTGGAATAGATATCCAAGAACGGCTTCCTGTTTACTCATCAGGTGTGGTCTGAAAGCATTGCAAGTCTGTGCTATAAAAAGGACGATTAATAAGGAAATGTTGCTAGGATGCCAGCTAGTTTATAGTGAAGTAATAATTAGTATTGGGGTTGGGGGTGGGGCATGTTCCCCTGCCGATTTACTTGCAGGGGTTCCACACAGTCCCCCCCCCCCTGTGGTCAGTAAGATCATATCTGAACTTCTGAATAGCAGGGTGGAATGATTGGCCGTGGATCTGCCATGGATGCATTAGCTGAGATTACTGCATTGCAGAGGGTTGGACTAGATGACCCTCGGGATCCCTTCCAGCTCGATGATTCAATGAAGTAAAGGGACTAGAAACTCAACTTTTGAATAAATAAAATGATGATAGCTGAACATTTTAGGAGCGTCATTTTAAGAATGTCCTGGGGGGGAGGGATCCACAATCCCAGAGCGCCCCTCCTTGGTGCATATGCCTTGTGTATGCACTCCCCAACTTTGCAGCCTGTGGAGAGGGCAGAGAAGATGGGGACTTTTTCTCCCTGGTCCTTATTCTAGCTCAGGGGTCAGCAAACTTTTTCAGCAGGGGGCCGGTCCACCATCCCTCAGACCTTGTGGGGGGCCGGACTATATTTTGAAAATACAAATAAAAAGGAACGAATTCCTATGCCCCACAAATAACCCAGAGATGCATTTTAATTAAAAGGACACATTCTACTCGTGTAAAAATACGCTGATTCCCGGACCATCCACGAGTCTGATTGAGAAGGCGATTGGGCCGGATCTGGCCCCCGGGCCTTAGTTTGCCTACCCCTTTTCTAGCTGGTCTGCCTTTGCTAGTCTGAGCACAGCAAGACTCTGCACAAGTCCGTTTGCTGAAGAAGAGGTAACCTTTTGCTCTTTTGGTGGCTTGCATTTAATAGCGACTGCTTTCCCTCTCCCCCCTCCACACGCATTGTTCTACCCGATATCAAATACACTAGCACATTTGCCTTCCACATTTAGAGGCTTGTTACGTCACAGGGCGCCTTTGATCCTGTTCCAAATTGTGAGGTGGGAGAGAGGAAAAGAAACACAACTCTCTCTCTCTCTCTCTCTCTCTCTCTCTCTCTCTCTCTCTCTCCTTTGAAATATTAAAATGTGCTTCCTGCACAACCTGTTTTGGGTGCTTTCGCCTTGTGACTTGGCACGCCCATTTAACCTGTCAAGCAGCCAGCGCACAATGTCTCACTTAGAGAAATATTAACAAAGGGATGTTTGGGGGGGGGATAAAGCACAGCCTATATGGATGTTCAGGCTGGTGTATGGCTTCAGGAATGCTCTCCAGAAGGACGCACGGTGGTTTCGGATCTATGCGACGCTAGTGTGGATTGGTGGGGCATTGGAAACATGATGGACCTCCTTAGCAGTTTTTTGGTGAGTGTTGTGCCGCAGGTGTCGGGCAATCAGCTCGCACAGTGAGCTTGCTTGACCCTCTGCTAAATAACTTTGATCCTGGCAAAAGCACCAAGTCAAAACTAGCCGCGTTAGGGGAATGGCTGTAGCTCAATGATAGAGTGTTTGCCCTGCAAGCAGAAGTTCCTAGGTTTGATCCCCTCTGGCATCTCCAGGTGGGGTTTGGAGAAACTCCTGCCGGAAATCCTGGAGAGCTGCTGCCAGTCAGTGTAGACAATACTGAGCTAGATGGACCACTGGTCTGATTGAGTATAAGCCTGGATAGTTGGTTAGAGCATGGGGCTGATAACCTGCCAAGGTCGCAGGTTCAATTCCCATATGGGACAGCAGCTTATTCCTTCCTTGCAGGTGGATGGACTTGACAATCCTCAAGGTCACTTCCAACTCTACAATTCTAGGATTCTATATAACCCAGACTCCAATTCTTGATTAGGGATGGGGGGGGGGAGAAATTCAGTTCAGTTTGCATTGCAGGTGAACCTACAAATCTGCACTCTCAGAAGCAATACACGAGCCAAAACATATTGTTCAAAATTTGTACTGCTGCTCATTCTGCAATGCACTCTGCTGGCTGAGTAAAGTGTACAGAAGACGTATGTGCCACGGCAAAGTGTGCATTAAAATTAAATTATGTAAATTGCATACAAAATACGTTCTATAAGGGCAATTTGCTTTGTGAAAATGCGTACATTAGGCAAAACTGCATACAAAATTAAAACCGTGTTTATGGAAGACAATCTTACTCGGCTACAAGTGATCGCTAGAGAGAGAGAGAGAGAGAGAGAGAGAGAGAGAGAGATTAGACACGTAGTATGTTGACACATGTTTGGATCTGGTTATTAGGTTATTGTTGATTTCAATCACTTTTTAATGTTTTAATCTGTTCTTTTCCCCAATGATTTTATCGCTTTATTGCTTTAATGTTTCGTTATAAATAAGCGTTGTATAATAAGTAAATAAAATATATTAGAAGTTCTCTCCCGAATGCTGATGAATTTTCATGACAACTTCTTCTTTTTAAATAACCAGCTGATGTGGAAATTGAGAGAACTGAAGTTAATAGCAGGTAAAAGGAATATTCAGAATCAAGAGATTCTTGAAAAATCTGAATGTTTTACCAGAGGCAGGTGGAGTTTATAGCATGGATTGCAAAGTCTTCTGTTGTTAATCTCCACTTATATTATCCCTTCTGAGATGCGAACTGTCTGGCTCTTATCTTCTGGAGTGCAATATATATGGAAAATACCCTTGTACCCAAGAACTGTTAGGAGAACCATGTATGCTGAGTCTAAAACATAGATAGCGTTATGGTTTGGGTGGACGGTTAGAGGGACCGATTGCCATTTTCAGGAAGACATGCTAGGCCTTGCCTACTCTCCAAAGCTTTCCCTCCCTGTCTTCTGAGAGCCTTCAGAGTTCCCAAGAACCCAACTGATACCTTTTAATGCGATGAATATGGCATGTTGTCAAGATCTAACATTTATTCTGGGTTGAAATTACAGTAATTAGAGATTTTCTCTAATTGCCGGCGTAATGTTTTGCACCTTGAAAAACCACCCCTGGTGTCATGGAAGAGTGCATTGTTGTTGTTTAGTTGTTTAGTCATGTCCGGCTCTTCGTGACCCCACGGACCAGAGCACTCCAGGCACTCCTGTCTTCCACTGCCTCCTGCAGTTTGGTCAAACTCATGCTGGTAGCTTCGAGAACACTGTCCAACCATCTCATTCTCTGTCGTCCCCTTCTCCTTGTGCCCTCCATCTTTCCCAACATCATGAGGATTCTTCTCATGAGGTGGCCAAAGTATTGGAGCCTCAGCTTCAGGATCTGTCCTTCCAGTGAGCACTCAGGGCTGATTTCCTTCAGAATGGATAGGTTTGATCTTCTTAAGGGTGCATTAGAGAACGACATTTCTAGCAAGGCATCCTAGTTGAGGCGGAACCATAGCTCAGTGGTGGAACAACCCAAATATACTTTGCATGTTAGAGATGCACACTCTTGCCTCTGCCATCATCAGACTTTCACCTTCTGCTTCCCAGGAAGAATGTCATGGCAAAGGGGAAACCAGCACAACCACTTCCATTGGCCAGTGAAAGAGCAGCTTTAGGGGGTGGGTTTCCCCCTGCTACATTGTCAGAGACTCAGCTCCTGCTGCTGGCTGGGCTGGGACTGCAGGACCAAAAGGCAGCAAGCTCTGCCCCCGTCCATCAGCTGGAGATCTAAGGGCATTTGGACCATGCATGCATATGGGTGAGTGAGTGTTGGGCGTTTTCTTGTATAGCCTGGCAATAGAAGCTGGCATGTTAGGGTGCTGTCCCGCTAACAGCAGCCTTATTTCCTCCAAGCCCATCTGCTGCCTTTTAACCAGTCAGAAGGCCACCCTTGGCTGTCACTTCCTTCTTTCTCTTTAGTCTCAGTCTTGCCCTTGCAGCACTCAGCAGGGAGGAAGGGGATAGGGACGAAACTAGAATCAGCTGGCTCTGCCTGTCATAGCCTCGGGCTCCACTTACTGTTGACCTCCCTTACCTCTGCTCTACCAGTCCCAGTGGGCAGCAGACATCACTGCTTTGGCCCTGTCTACATGCTCTCCAACATTTTCCCAATGAGAATAGGGACATCCAATATAATAATAATAATAATAATAATAATAATAATAATAATACCCCACCCATCTAACTGGGTTGCCCCAGACACTCTGGGCGGCTTCCAACATATATAAAAACATAAGAAAACATTGCACATTTTTAAAAACTTCCCTCTACAGGGCTGCCTTCAGATGTCTTCTAAAGGTTGTATGGTTACTTATCTCCTTGGCTCAGGGGGTCAGATAGCTTCATACCCTCCAACATTTATCGGATGAAAATAGGGCTGTCCTATGGAAAAGCCAGACAACAAATCAGAAACTCGGATGGCTTCTGTAAATTTGGGACTGTCCCTGGAACGTAGGGACACTTGGAGGGTCTATGTCTATCAACAAAGCTCTAAGGGTTGCTGGATTTTGTGTGTGTGTGTGTGTGAGTGTGTGTGTGTGTGTGAGTGTGTGTGTGTGTGTGTGAGAGAGAGAGAGAGAGAGAGAGAGAGAGAGAAAGAAAGAAAGAAAGAAAGAAAGAAAGAAAGAAAGAAAGAAAGAAAGAAACAGAGAGAGGCAGTCAGAGAATGTTGAGGTTTCTATTGTAGTATTGCTGGCTGCCTACAAGCTGACTTGAGAATCCTTTGATTGAAAGGTAAAGGTAAAGGTAAAGGGACCCCTGACCATTAGGTCCAGTCGTGACCGACTCTGGGGTTGCGGCGCTCATCTCGCTTTATTGGCTGAGGGAGCCGGCGTACAGTTTCCGGGTCATGTGGCCAGCATGACTAAGCCGCTTATGGCAAACCAGAGCAGCGCATGGAAACGCCGTTTACCTTCCCGCCGGAGCGGTACCTATTTATCTACTTTCACTTTGATGTGCTTTCGAACTGCTAGGTTGGCAGGAGCAGGGACTGAGCAATGGTAGCTCACCCCATTGCGGGGATTCGAACCGCTGACCTTCTGATCGGCAAGTCCTAGGCTTTGTGGTTTAACCCACAGCGCCACCGGCATCCCTGATTGGAAGGTGTTGTTGTTTAGTCGTTTAGTCGTGTCCGACGCTTCATGACCCCATGGACCAGAGCACGCCAGGCACTCCTTTCTTCCACTGCCTCCCGCAGTTTGGTCAGACTCATGTTTGTAGCTTGGAGAACTACAGACTCATGTTTGTAGCTTGTAGATTGGAAGTACAACTCTTCAAAATAAACGAGAAGGTCCCAGGTTCAATTTCTGACATCACCAGTTAAAAGGAGCAGGCGGCAGGTGGAAAGCCTTCTGCCTTAAGGTGTTGGAGAATCACTGCTGATCAGAATACACAAGATGGCCCAAAGTCTGGCCTGATTTAACACACAGTTTGCTGCATTCACAAAACAGCTGGCGGACCCCATTCATAACCCTGCAGAGGCACGTAATGAGATGCTATTGCAGTACAATGAAAAGTCGGAACTCTTGTCAGACTAGAAAGGCAAAGCTGACAGCTCCTCTGGGTCTGAGTGGCAGGCATGTCAGCTTAATTACACTGCTCTTCTTCTTCCCACCCTCCTGGCATTGTTCTCACCCATGTCATCTTCAGTGAGATTTCTTAGATCAAGAAGGTTGACTCTGGAGGCAACAAGGTGTGCAAGGGCTGAGCTTGCTGGAGCAGCTTGCAAGGAATGCTGAGCCAATGTTCCCCATTGTGTTCCTCTAAACAGAAGTGAGTGAGTGGTTGGATGGATATGTGAGTGGGGGAGAGGGAGAGGGAGAGGGAGAGGGAGAGAAAGGACATGGGAAACCACCTCTCTTGGTATGTCCCGTGGAGGACCTTGTTGTTGTTTAGTCATTTAGTCGTGTCTGACTCTTCGTGACCCCATGGACCAGAGCACGACAGGCACTCCTATCTTCCACTGCCTCCCACAGCTTGGTCAAACTCATGTTAGTAGCTTCGAGAACACTGTCCAACCATCTCGTCCTGTGTTCTCCCCTTCTCCTTGTGCCCTCCATCTTTCCCAACATCAGGGTCTTTTCTTCTCATGAGATGGCCAAAGTATTGGAGCCTCAGCTTCAGGATCTGTCCTTCCAGTGAGCACTCAGGGCTGATTTCCTTAAGAATGGATAGGTTGGCTCTTCTTGCAGTCCATGGGACTCTCAAAAGTCTCCTCCAGCACCAGAATTCAAAAGCATCAATTCTTTGGCGATCAAGCCTTCTTTATGGTCCAGCTTTCACTTCCACGGAGGACCTTACGGTCTTCAAATAAAAACATCTTGGAGATCCCGGGTCACAGCGAGGTTAGGCTGGCTTCAACCAGAGCCAGGGCTTTTTCGGCCGTGGCCCCGATCTGGTGGAACGCTCTGTCACAAGAGACTAGGGTCCTGCGGGACTTGACATCTTTTTGCAGGACCTGCAAGACGGAGCTGTTCCACCAGGCCTTTGGCCAAGGCACAATCTGACCCCCTCTCTCCTTCTGTAATCCTCATAGAACTCTAACCCAATGGTTGCCATTAATTTGATTCTGAATTGATTTTAGAATGTATTTTAATTAATTGACTGTATGATTTTATGTATGCTGTGCTATTTTTACTTGTTGTTAGCCGCTCTGAGCCCGGCTTTGGCTGGGGAGGGCGGGATACAAATAAAATTATGATGATGATGATGATTATGTCAGACCACTGTTCCACCTAGCTCAGTATTGTCCACCCAGGATGGAAGTGGTTCTCTGGCATTTCAGAAAGCGTTCTCTTCCAGTCCTACCTGAAGATCGGGCTGCATGGATGGAAGAGCCACCAGGCTAGAATGTGATAATGCCAAGGTTGCAGGTTCGATCCCCGTATGGGGTGGCTGCATATTCCTGCATTGCAGGGGGTTGGACTAGATGATCCTCAGGATCCCTTCCAACTCTACGCTTCTATGGTTTCTACAGTACTGTTGCGCTTGACTCCCTGAGACTGGCAAGCATGGAAATGGAGGGTGGCACTTATGCTAGATTCAGCTTCCCCAGCTTTCGTTGTCTGCCTAGTTTGTTGTTTGTATTAATCAGAGAGACCAGTCCGGCCTGTTAGGGGCAGAGATTGCTTATCAGGGACGGGATTTCTGGCCTCAAGCAGGGCTCAAGGGATGTACGGTGACTCGGAAAGCACCGGCCGTGCCACACGTGCTTTGGCAAGCTGCCGTATCTTTCTGGCCACGAAATGGTGGAAACGCCACCAGCTGCTCCATGCTGATAAGTCCTAACAGGCACGCTTTTGTCTCAGCTGAACCTTAGGAACATAGGAAGCCACCTTATAATGAGTCAGACCCATTGGTCCATTTAGTTCAGTGTTTTCTACATGGACTGGCAGCAGCTCTCCTGGGTTTCAGGCAGGGAATGCCTCCTGGACCTCCCTGGAGATTTCTGCATGCAGATGCCCTACTCAAAGGGTCACATCTTAGGTTTGCAGCAGAGTAATTTCAGGGATGCTGGCACAGCCTGCCAAGCTCATGTGTGGAAGTGGATATTGGAGTCTTAGCACTGTAGAGTTGGAAAGGGACCACAAGCATCATCTAGTCCAACCCCCTACAATGCAGGAAACTTTTGCCCAATGTGAGGATTTGAACCCACAACCCTGAGATTAAGTTGCATGCTCTACCAACTAAGTTATCCCTCAACTTAGTCTTCTTTGTTTCTCATTCATTCCACACTTTTGAGGAATCAATCCTCCACTATGACAGCACCTCTGGAACTCCTTGCCTATTGATATTATGCAGGCACCTCTGCTGTACAATTTTCTAAGCCTTCTAAGAACAGCCCTCCCCCATTTAAGCAGCCTACCCATATATGCAAATCTAACATGTATTTTGAGATGTAATTCAATTTTATAATGTATATTTTAAAACGGCTGACTTGATTTTGAAATCCGAGAATATTATGTGATTTTTAACGTTTGTGGTTGTTTCCTGTCCTTCGCCAGGAGGTCTTGGGGTGGGTTACAATGATTTAAGGGTCAGAATGAAAGAATGAAAAGAAATTACTGTCACCAGAATAGTGATAAACTACGAAGAGCAAGAAATCTTGATGCAGTCGCACATGAGACCACATCAAGATTGCTTTATTACAATGTTTAATATCAAGGTTGCTTTATTGCAGTGTTTAACATCACGATTACTTTATTGCAGTGTGGTTTATCAGGGTCCATGCAAGCATCAGCACTGAAGATGGGAAAACATGCAAAAGGCACTGACATTTTAGGAAGGACCCTGACAAACCAGACCATGAATTAGTCTTTTAAAGCCTTCCAAGTTGGTGGCCATCACCGCCTGCTGTGGCGGTGAGTTCCATAGTTGAATTATGCACTGCGTGAAGAAGTACTTTCCATTATCTGGCTTAAAGGAGTAAAGGAACTTAGATCTCTCTTGTGAGCAAACAAAGGTTTGATCAAAAGATGTCAGGAGGGCGGAGATGAGGAAAGACAAGACAGACTTCTCTTTGGTACTCTGTACCATCTTTGGAAAGAAAAGCCATGTTTGTTTATTAGGAGTGTCCCAATATTTGACAAGGACTCCCAGAGCAGCTGGATAGGCTCTTTATTTTGTTTTTTTAAAGGAGGCCAGCTTCCTGAGAAAATAAACCTGCAATTGAATTACCGGGCTGTTACTAGACAAAGGAGATGACCTTGCAAATGACTGGAAAATTCAAAAAGCGATACAATAATCGAGTTTGGTTGGGCGAGCTCTGCTGGAACCTTGCCACTAATTAACTTAATGGTCTGCATCTGCCTTTGCTCTGGCTTTTATTTTCCAGCCTGATTGTCACTTCGCTTTACGTTATCGGGCACAATTTTGGGGGGCTGCCACACCCCTCTTTCGCTTCCTGAGCTTGCCTTTCCTTTGCCGGTGCAGGATACTAAGTGCTAAGGTGAGCTTCATCCCCATCTCTGTGCAACCTCATGGAATTGTAGAGTTGGAAGCGACCATTTGGGGCAGAGTCATCTTATCCAACCCCCTGCAATTCAGGAATCTTTTGACCAACATGGGGCTTGACCCCACAACCCTGAGATTAAGAGTCTCATGCTCTAATGATTGAGCTACCCCAGGACATTGAGCCCAAGCTGCTGCTGAACAAGTCTTCCTTCCACCAGACCAGCCTGTATGTGAAAGCTAGCGCTGTCTATTTCAGGGGTGGGGAACCTATGGCCCTTCAGATGCTGTTGGACTCCAGCTCTCTTCAGCCCTACTCAGCAGAGCCAGTGGTCAAGGATGATGAGTGTTGAGGTTCTGCAACAGAGTCTCCACCACTGGCAGAGGTTCTCCAAAGCCTCAAGCAGAGGTGTACTCCACTCCCATCACCTGTGACCACCTAGTTGAAGATGCCAGTGTTGAATCTGAAGCCTTGGGAAGCTGGCATCTATCAGGTCATCTAGCCTAGTATCCTCTACTCTGACAGTGGCTCTCCAGGATTTCAGGTTAGGGAAGGCTGGGGGTGAAGCTCTGGAGCAAGTCAGCAGTAAATCACACCATGCATGTTGGAGTTTATTAGCCAGAACAGACTAGTGTTAGGCCCAGTGAGCACAGGAACTCATCCCTGGTAAGTCTTGACCAATGGATCAGTTGCCAAGAATTAAGGTCCCTGCCTCCCTGCAGCTGTCCATGTGTCCTCTCTAGGGGTTCCCCCCCCCAAGCAATCAGGCACCTGAATGCCTGTCTTTGTTCTTCCCGCTTCCTGCCTCTTCTGGTTCTGGGAGACCAGGGAGGAGGGGAGCTAGGGTTAGGGTTAGGGTTAGCTGCTCACTAAGTCCCATTACCCCTTCAGCTTCCAACACCTCATCTTCCCAATCTTCTCCCTCTTACCATTCATCGTCGTCCCACCACCACTCCCCGGGCTCTGAGCTTTCTTCTCTTGGTGGTTCCCCTGCTGGTTCCTACCACCATCCATCTACATCGAACCAGTCCATGACTTCTGGCCTGTGGGCTTTATTCAGCCCACAAGTCCTCTTCATTTGACTTGTGAGAGCATGTTTTGCCAAGGGACACCTACTTGCCCTATGTGATTTCAGCTGCGGTGCAGATAAAACAACCTAACAGGGTCAAAGGGGGTTTTGCAGTTACCACCAGTCAACTGATCAGCGCTACCTGCAAAGATACACTGCGAAAGCTACCAGCCTGGCTCCGTTGAAAGCCCCGACAAACAGCTGGTTGTCGGGGCTTGCAAAGCCCAGGCAATTCAAGGCGCCATGTCAGCTGCTGTCATGGTGACGTCAGGTAACTGGCAGCTGGGTAGCCCTGCCCACCTATCAAACCTGGCTTGTGCGGGGACGTGGGTGGAAGGTGGATCCACCTCCCCACTTCTGTCCTACACAGAAGAGCAAACCAATGGGAGGAACGGAAAGAAGAGGAGCATTGTTTCATCATAGGGGGAGGGGAATTCTGGGCGGGAAGGAGCCAATGGCAGCTTGAGTTAGGTAGGCTGACATGCGGGGCGTTGCAGTCTCATTCCTCACTTGGCAGCAGGTGGATGGAGTTAGCTATGGATCAAGGCCTTTCCAGGAATGGAGGGGCTGCATGGCAGTTGTCTACAACTGAGCCTACTTAAATTCTAAGACCTGCCTCTTCACAGTCTCATGTTTTTTGTACAGACGGCTGACCAGGTGCATCCTCAGTTTTTCCAGGAGGGTGAGGCACAGGCTCTTACCATAGACTGGGGAGGATGTCGACTGCAATGGAGGTTCCCTTCTGGCTCCTCCTCTGAGGACTGGGCCCTGCCTCCATTGCCCCAGCCCTACTGCAACCCTGGACATTACATTGCAATTAAACGAATGCCCCAGACCTAGGGTTATTCCACAGCTGAGTGTGTTGGGGGAGAGATGGTAACTGCTTCCCAAAATGCCAGGGAATATTTTGGTATAATGCTTCAAAGCGATATAATCCTACAAAGAAACAAAGGAGCCGACATTTTCTGAGAAAAAGGTCTTCTAAGAACATTTGGCTCAGCTATAACTATAATTGTATATAACCCTTCTGACTCTGTTTTTTCACGGCGCCTTTTATTATATTTCATTGGGTTGTGTTTTTTTAAACTTCAGTTCCTTTTAAATTGTTTTATTGCTGGCTTTTATTGCTGGCTACTTCCTTCTATATACAGCTTTTTTTTAATAAAAAAAAAGCATTTTACTGTTTTGAAAACTGCCTGGACCTCTGATGAAGAAAAGCGGGTGTCGATATGTTATATCAATAAGGGTTTCCTCGCCATCCAGTGTTTTGAACTCATCCTGCGTTGACGGAAACAACAATGGGTTTTCAAAAAGGGGCAAATTCTCACAGAGTCATCAAGATATAAGCTGAGGTGAACCAGTGGAATGAAGTGGAGATTTCTAGGTTTATAGTAGTGGCTGACATTTTACACTAGAACATCATAAGAACATGAGAAGAGCTCTCCTGGATGAAGCCATCAGCCACCTAGTCAAAGAATCAAAGGGTTTGATGGTACTCCAAGGGTCATCTAGTCCAACCCCCTGCAATGCAGGAATCCAGCGCTCTGTTCTCACAGTGGCTAACCAGATTCACCAATGGGAACCCTGCAAGAAGGACACAAGTTCAGCTGCATTCTCTCCACCTGCAGTTCCCAGCAGATGGTGTTCAGAGGCGTTGCCCCCTCCAGAGGATTTCGGTTTGCAATCAATGAACGATGGAGAATCGATATAAAAACCTAGACTTTTCTGTGCATGTCTATTTACTTGTTAGGCCCCCCACGAACACGTTCTCTGGGCATCGTGCATTGCAATGAAAAACCTAAGAATAATGCCTGTAAAAATCCAGCATGAATCTTAGAACCTGGTGTAAAGCCCAAATACAAAAAAGTAAATGCACAGTAAGATGCAAGAGAAAACTCAGGAGCTAAACGCTACCACCAAATACAGTAACTAAAACCACTGGCCAGAGGGATTTAAGCAAGAAGGCTTAGGCTGGTGTCAGGCGAGCTTCCCTGGCAGAGTATTCAATAGCTAGGGGGCCACCACAGAAGAAGTCCTGTCCCTCATGGCACTCTGAGCTTCAGACTAAGGAAACTCAGAGGTCTGCCTCTGTGGATGACCTTAAGTTTCAGGTAGTTCCAGGAGGAGGAGATCTTCCTTCTGGCATCAAGGTCCCAAGCCATTTAGGGCTTCATTAGTCAAAAACTCTCCAAATTGGAAGCAGTGAGTGCAATAAATGATCTGATGGCAGTTGTCATAAGGTGTTGACTTTTAGCTTCACTTCTTTCTTTCTTTTCTTTGTCTCCCCCAGTCTGCAGAGTTCTTTGAAATGCTGGAAAAAATGCAGGTATGTGGCATGTCAGTTCTGTCCGGAACTTGTTCCTCTTTGCAACCGTGCATGCATGTTTTCAACATAATTGTGGCAGGCTACTTTGGAGCAGGGTGTGGGTGCAAAAGGCCTTCAAAGATGTTTGTGATCTTTGGTGACTGGGAACGATGTCTCACGTTTCTGAAAACATGTGTGCAGTGGCTGATCTGATAGAGATGAAGAGGCAGAGGATTGCATCCTTTCTTTCTTCAGCTTGCAAATAAATGCCTTGCCAATAAATCAGGCTGCAAGAAATGGAAGCAGCGACCCAGCAGAATCACCAAATGGGGGTTATGCTACCCCAGGGGCTCTCAACCTTTATAGACCTATGGGCATATTTTGATTTTTGAATGAGGGCTGTGGGCACTCGACCCCCTAGAGCAGCGGTTCTCAACCTGTGGGTCCCCAGATGTTGTTGGACTACAACTCCCATCATCCCTGAGCTCTGGCCATGCTAGCTAGGGGTGATGGGAGTTGTAGTCCAACAACATCTGGGGACCCACAGGTTGAGAACTGCTGCCCTAGAGCCTTTTCTCTCTCCTGCCCCCAGATCTGCACACCCCCCCAGCAGAGAGTGAGGGAGGGAGGGAGCGAGGGAGGGAGGGAGAAAGTGCATGCACATAGATTGCACTTTTCTAAGACATGGTCTCCAAAAGTGCTCCTGGGGAGGAAGACTGGTGAAATGATGGTCATCCTTGCCAATTTGAAGTAGATATATGGCTGTGCTCAATGACCAGCGGAGACAGCCATAATTTTGAACGAAAGCTGCATCACAGCATCCCATTGTTCCCCCCGGGGCCATTTGCAATGAGGATGCAGGTGCTGTTTGTTGCAGCTCTGCCACTGCCCCACATCCCAATATCAAAAGTGTGGAATGGGGCTGAGAAATGTCTGTGGGCCCTATGACAGTGGTGGCTGGTGCCCACTGGCGACTGGTGGGGCAGAAGGCAGGGAGCCCACCAGCAGGTGGGACCAGAGCCAATGGCAGGCAGAGCCAACTCATTCTAGAGTTGTCTCCATCCTCCTCCTCCTCTCTTCTGAGTTATCCCAGGGCAAAACTGGGACGAAGGTGGAGGAAGTTGACAGGCAGGGCCACCACCTTCTGAGCTGATTGTAAGGAAGCAGACAGGCAAGTGGGGCTGGCTGAGGGGAGACTGAGCTTGGTGGCCCAGTGCCCCATTTGACCAAATAAACTAGACTAGTAAGAAGTTCTGTGTTGCAAATTTTAACCAGGAACAGGCACTCAAGACCCCTGGCATGTATCCCAAAGTAACTAAACAAACTTCATGTCATGTTTTTTTACAAACAGGGGCCAAAATTAGAGGAACAGAGAAGTGGAAGCCAGAGAAATAAGGTCAGTTTCAGGACAAGGTCCAAACGTGGGTCTCCTTTTCAATGTCTAGGAACAGAATATATCTTTGCTTGGACAAGGTGGTTCAAAATGTAAAGCGCTTCTCAGTTCTCCTCAGTTTCTCCACAGGCTGAAATCCAACAGGCAGATCCTAGCCCAGGGGTCAGCAAACTTTTGCAGCAGGGAGCCAGTCCACTGTCCCTCAGACCTTGTGGGGCGGGCGGACTATATTTTTTTGGGGGAAATGAACGAATTCCTGTTCCCTATAAATAACCCAGAGATGCATTTTAAATAAAAGGACACATTCTACTCATGTAAAAACATGCTGATTCCCGGACAGTTCAAGGGCTGGAATTAGAAGGCGATTGGGCCAGATCCAGCCCCCAGGCCTTAGTTTTCCTACCCATGTCCTAGCCCCA